GCGTGAAGGTTTTGGAATTTGCGTGGACCAGAGCGTTAGTTTCACGCTTCCGGCGTGCGCGCGCCCGGCGCGCGCGCCAGGCGCGCGCCAGGCGCGCGCCTGCACGCGCCAGGCGCGCGCGCGCGCGCGCCGGGCGCGCACCTGCCTTCTTCACGCTTACCCTTTTGCTTAAGCGTGTAATATCCGGCCAGTACCGCCTCTGACCGTGGAATTTTCCATGCGTGGTCCTTAGGGAGCTGCCTATAGACTTCGGTTGAGAACCACCTGACGTGCTCAAGCTACCAATGTCGCTTCTTCAGTCTCGAAGCTTGCCTAACGGATCCGTCTCGAGCCAATTACCGCGACAGTATGTGAGCTGAAGTTCTGTCGACGCGTGCCAAAATATGTCCTCTAGATCACGGCACATAATTGACAATGCAGTACTTCATATATGGTTGTGCAAAAGGCTTGGCTGAAGAAACGCGTCACATAGAAGGCAACCCAACCTTTCGAGCCTTTTTTGAGCCAGACTTAGGGTTGAGGGGTGTAAGGTTTAGGGAAGCTAACAGTGTAGGGCTTTGAAAATATACACGTCAGGTCACAGTTTCGGGCAGCAGGCTTTAGGGTGGGGCATACATAAAAAAGTTCTGGGCTTTAAGGCTTAAGGGTTGCGGCTAGCTTTCGGACTTACTGTGGTGAGTGTTTGAAGTTCAAGCTTGACAGGGTAATATATGAGACTGGGCTACTGGGTCTATGCCTTTATTGTTTGTTACGGTTCTGGTAAGGGCTTTGGCTGTTAAGCTTCTCCTGTTTTAAGGTTCGGCCGGGTTTGGGTGTTTGAAGCTGTGGGTTCCGGGTTGTCAGCTTGAAGTTTTGCTGCAGGGATCGGGCTGGAGTTCGATTCTTTGGGCTCTGGGCCGGGTTTTGGGGCCAATAGCTTCTGAGCAGGATGGGCTTAAGAGAAGTTTTCAAATCCAAGGGTGCGATCATACGAGCTGCGAGGTTCGATCGTCCGGACGGCAGGTTTCACTAGTGTAATCTGGGCTCAGTGTTCGGAATTGATAAAACTAAACTCCAAACCGGGGACTGCCCTCCTGAGTACTGATCTGAAACTTTGGATTTGTTTTTGGGATCAAGTTGTTGGGTCTATAGGATCCCTGTTTGCGGTTTAGTGGTTCAGGTTTCGGGATGCAGAATCGAAGTTGGAGCACTGAAATCCGAAAGCCCCTTGATAGCCGTGACAAGCGGGTAAACTTTAGCTGATCATTACTTTTCGGGCATCAGGAAGCAGCCTCATTCGGAATTAATTTTGGAGAAAGCTCTACAACTCACATCCCCACGAAACAAGGATAACTTGCAACCCTCACCCGTATTCCTTTCACAACCCCTGTTGCACAAAAGCTGCTGTAGTGAGCTGCCGGACATACTATTTCGGGGGCTTAAGTAACAAAACCTTTAACGAAGTGTTGGAGATTTGATTGGAGCTCGGCCTCCACACCACTATGGCGGTACACTGGCCTTCGTTTTACGCGTCAGCACTCAGAAAACGCCTCCGTACTCCAACAGCACTCTGTAGCGGTTGCACGTAACTTTATCCATAGTGAAAGGGTGGCAGGACGAGGCAATGTTGCCAATCTGTTTCATGAGGTCCTCGTCTTGATAGCAGTGCTCCCACCTGCATGCAGGGATAAACTATGTCCGAACTATTTTCTGATCGATTTGGTCATTATAAAATTCTTCTATTGGTCTAGCAACACTGACTATGTTGTGTTAACGGCCAATTTCCGACCCTTTAGGATTATAACCCACTCGAAAACGTGCAAAGGTCTAAAGGTTTAACCTGATTTGCTATCCCAGCGAGCCTCGGATTTCGGGAAGTTCGTTTCACGTACTGAAGCATGTGAAGGAAGCTGTGAAATTTTGGTACAATCTTCCAGTTTTTTTCGGTTCCTCAAGATTTCGGACTGCCAAGGCTTGGTGCTGCAAAAGAAACGTTTGTCCCATTTGCACAGACTCGTCCCTCACCGATGTGCTCAAAAACGAGCCGCCGCGGTCGAAGTTCCACTGAACTTTTGCAAGTGCATAGGACAACCGGCGTCGGTCGTTCCCGTTGGGTAGATTTTGATCTTCATCGCTCAGAAAAGCATGGACCCAGTATATCATCATCTTCACGGTATAAGCCTTGAAGCAAGACTGCAATTCAGGAAAACTTCCCCATTGTTCCCGCCCAAACCTCGTCGAGTTGAAACGGTGTCCGCAACCAGGCACATGGGTTTTGCGGCACCAAGCTTTGTAGTGCTTCCAAACACGGCCCTCCAGCTCGGAGTTCAAGTCTTGTAACCTTATGCCGACCCCAAGCTTTGCTTCGATATGCGCGCACACCAGCCCTGCCACCGCGAAACATGCCACACCCTGGTGCAGAACATGCAGAAGATCCTTATACCGCTGAGTTTAGACTTATTCACGGAATGAACATGTAAAGACTTATGTCGAACAGACATACGGTTGAAAGCCCTAGAAATCCTGACGTTTTCTATAACGTAGAAGCCAAGTAAACGAAAAACAGCTGTGGCTCCTCCAGGTTCCTGTCCTTCGTCCAGCCGGGAACGTTCAACCAGCTCGAATGAAACTCCCCTGGCGTCATGAGAAGGTACTGCGCATGCGTGAAAGGCACATCCAAATAAGCGGCATCGGCTGCGAAATTGCGGTAGTTAAAGGCGTTGTCTGACTTGCATGCTGGACAGTGCTCACAAATATTGATGTGATTGTAGCTCCGTTGCAACTTGTGTATTAACACACGTGCTTCCCAATCTCCTTTGAAAGCACTGAAGGCACACTTGTAACCACCGGCAAATTCAAGGTTGGCTTTGCTTTCTTCTCGAGAACCAACTGGCCAGGCTTGGCCGTTCATGTCTTTGTCCGGGTATTTCCCAGTTTGAAGAACGCGTTGTATCCAGCCCACCACCTCGCCGATCCGGTCGTGCGTCAACGGCTTCAGCACAAGTGTTTCTCGAACAAGCAGAAGCAGGAGCTTGGAGGACAAGGAAGGCCCCTTCTTTAACGCGCAGGAATACGAATATACCCAGCACTTCTGATGTTTGTAGACTCGGACACCATCGGCATGCCAAAAAATTGGAAATGTCATTGCGGGGTTTTTCAGTTTCAGAAGCTTTACAGACTCCTCATGACGAAGCCGATGCCAATATTCACTGTTCATTTCCCGGACTTTGTCGGGGTCGGTGTCGTTCGATGCCCAAGTCAAAAGCTTATCATTTCGATGTAGCCAGTTCAACACATCCCAGGGCCACGTTATAGCAGTCTTCTGCAATTGGTCCACCGCGGAACCATCTTTCTCAGAAACACGCAAAGGGAGTCCCACCCAACCTTCCGGAATTTCAGCGACTGATGAATACCACCTGCAAAATATGTTCCCCACATTGCACCCCAGAGCTACCTTATTTATCTGTGCCACTTGAACTGCAAACAGAACCAGAATCACAGAACACAAGCGATCCCAGACGCCTTTGGAAACTTCGTTCTTCATGTCCCTCGGAAAAGGCCGCCAGAACAGTAGCCAGGGGACACGTGCATCCATCTTGAAGCAGGTCTTTCGCTTGTCGAACTCCAGCAGAAGCCGCCAGCTTCTAGGTTTGCAAACAATTTTAATGGGACAAGTTCAATTCCTACATTAGGCACGATGGAACGATAAACCGAGGCACTCCACTGCAAATATCACGTAAGATTCGTCCAGCTGAATGGCTCGCAAAAGCCACCACAGCCTCACCTCATGGGAGCAAGCAAGTCATACCAGAACATCCACAATCCACATGCTTATCAACGGTCTCGCCAACAGCCTATATAATATGTGCAGTTGAGCATCCCCTGAGCTTGGGTGCAGCTGGAGCATCATTGAAAAATCCACAGCTGCCTTGGTTTCGCACTACGAAAACACATGCTCGACAACAAACTCTTGCACCAAGGTACACAAAATTTATATAGACCATCAAAGTTGCGTGCTCGTGCTTCCTCTGAAGCTCGCCCCCGCGACCGAGAGCGAGATCTCGCCCTGCGTGGGGTGACACAGCTTAAACGCAGGGCCCTAAACTGCGCACGATCACCTTCCGTAGCTCAAATCGACATAGCAATGCGAGACTGTTTTTTAAACCGCCACGGCTCGAAGCGAACATCCGGAGGACTTGTGAAAAGCCAGCGTCACAGTGGCTGCCACGCAACACTGATCCTCAAGTTGCACCCAGCAGCAACCATCTACATCGTTGAATAGTCACACATCCACTCGTAGAAATATTAAGTGGATGATTCGATGATAGCTGGACTAAAGCAAGCAACTCTACAGTGTATACCATGCAGCAGCACACACGGACGTCCTAGGGCCACAGTCTTTAGCCGGTCGAGAGACATGATGCACCGCTGCGCTTTTGCGTGCATGCACGTGACAAACACGAGCATGCACTCGACTATCAGCTATAGCTAAAACTAGAAATGCTAGCTACCTGCGGCTATCATTTCCGTGCAGTGATGCAAATCCCGTCGGTGTCACCTCCTAGCCTTTCGTCACCTTCTTCTTACTCTTGCTGCCACTCTCATCCCCATCAACCGCTTTGGTCTTCTCGGGATTGTTGTTCTTCTCACTTGCACGGATCAGGGCCTTGGCCAGATCGATGCGTTCCTTTGCCTGCTCCTTGAGCTTGTTGATCTGCCACCAGGAACTAACGATTTCATATGGCTGTAACCCTGAAATGCCCTGAATGCTTCCGGCCTCGCTGGTGATTTGCTTGTAACGCTTGTTCTTGTCTTTCTTGGCCGACACGAGCTTCTGCAGTAGCCCAGCCTGCACAACAACCAAAATTTGATTTGGATTTCAGCAAACAACTCCTGTGCTGTTAAATGATTGCCTTCTCAGAGAAGCACTTCTCCAATGCCAAGAGCTGACCGATCAACGTCGCTGACAACTTCAGCGGCTTCAGCTTGAACGCAAAGTCCCTGACCAGGTGTTCACAGAAGACAAGCATGCTTATGTAAGGGGTCCTCACGAAGCTTCTCCAACCCGCCTGCAGAAGTTCTTGTCTTTGAGCAGAGTGCTCAGCAAGATTTTCGCCTTCTCCAGGGGCGTGTCCGGCACCACCTCGTTGGGTTGGGCAAATAATCAGAATTGGTTTGGTTTGGATTTCCTCTGATACCCCGCCTTGTTTGCCTTGCTCGCATCATTGGCCTTCTTCGACGGCTTGGGTTTCCCTGCTGCGCTTGCGATTCCCCCCGCTGTCTGCAAAGCTTTTGCCATCGTGTCTGCCGGCACCCCAGTTCCCAGAGCAAGCTGCTTGGTCGGGTCCAGGACACCTCCAGCCTCCCGGGTATATTCATTTAAAACATGTATCTTCCACACGACTGCCACAAATGACCACGAATAGAGCCCACTACCAAAAAAGCCCCGCCTCAGTGAAAGCCTTCAACATTTCATCGTCTATCGTCCCCGTTATTTCCAACTTGGTAATCCTCTGAAGATCGCGAATGTCATCGATGTTAATTTCGACGAACACAAAGTACAGAGAGTCTTCCGGTGACTCCGGATCCGCAATCGTCCTTAATTAATTTCTGCACGAACAAGAAGAAATCACATGGCTGCTGTAACATTACCTAGACCTAGACATACCAACACACATGATTTACAGTTTGCAAACACAAGGATAAAAGGGTTGCCCTGACCTACCCACCACCCAACCAAAAGCAGGCACATCAGGACACAAACACACGTACCGACACAACTACTCCTAACAACCAACAACCGCGAGCACACGATAAACATAGACTCACCCTAAATCGTGCAGACACACACACACACAAGCTCGCACCGACTACACTGTCACATGAACTTGCATGCATGCACTCACCTACTCTCGCACTTCTCGCTTTCTAGCTCTCTCTCTCTCTCTCTCTCTGCCTTTCTGTCCAATCAAACCCCCCATCTCTCACCACACTCAATACAGGCAGGCTTCAGCCCTTGGGCTTTCTTTCGTGCCATGATCTTCTCGCCCTTGAGGTCTCCATGTGTATCACGGACCCATTTCTCCCCACGAAATCCATACCGGATTTTCGATCGTTGCTGCTCCACAAGCTGCTGTTGGTGCATGAGGAGGATTTTGGAAACATTACCTTTTGCCTCCACGTAGTCGGCAAAGAGCCGCATCCGAGAGTCTTCGTCCAGAATGCGTGCCCCCAGCTCTTTTGGGAATCTCTCCCATCGTTTGTATCGTAGGTATTCTGTATGATGTGAATTACTGTTTATGGTCAGCTTCTGCTCGGCAGCTTGCAAAGCCTTTGGACCCGCCTGCTGCGCACGATCCTTTGCCTTTTTCTTCAAAGGCCTGGGAGCCTCTCTCTCCGGGCTGCCTTGCTTCTGCTTCTTCTCTTTGCCACGCCCCTTTGACCGGGCATGGGCAGCCTGTCCAGCCTCTCTCTTCGGGCTGCCTCGCTTCTGCTTTTTCTTTTTGCCACCCTTTTCCTCTTCCCTGCCTCGTGTCTCCTTCTCGATGTGCTTGTGCTTGCGCTTTGCTGGCTCCGGGGCCTTTGGCTGCCTTGCAACCTCGTCTCGCGTCGCTTTCTTGGATCCTTTCTTCGGCGGCGGCGGCGGCTCGTCGTCGTGACTGCTGCTGTCACCATCTCCTTCGCCTGACGCCTCGTCTGAAGCGTCCTGCTCTGGCTCAGAAGATCCCTGGGGCCCCTCCTCTTCAGACCCTTCGCCGAGCTCCTCACTCTGGTCCTCATCGTCCTCCTCCTCGCTGCCTTCAGCAGCATCATCATTGTCATCGTCATCAAGATCATCATCGTGATCTTCTTCCTCGGATGCAGCCGAACCGCTTGCTTCAGCACTCGACTCCTGCTCCTGAGACTCGTCTTCGGTCGCATCCGCCGCCTGTGCAACAACTCACATACAAACGTATCGTTAATATACACAACACATACACACTCACATACATTCGTGCAAGCATACAGGAATACATGATGCTGCACACATGACATGCACCAATCCGCACAATGTCTATATAGAGGCCTCCGAAGAACTTTCAGGCTGTTCAGGCTCACACATCTCGTCAAGGATGTCTTTGGCTTCATTCAAAGACATCCGCGGTGAGTTCATGGGCTCATCCTTGCGCGTTCGGGTCGGTCTGGGCGGGGTGCCCACAAAGACCTCCTCCGGAGGCTTCTGGGCAAAGCTTACTCGGGGTGCTTCTGCGTCCCTGCTTTCCGCGGGGGGTTCGCCCTTCTTCTTCAGGGCAGACGGCCTCGGCTTTCCAGCCGTTGCAGCTGCACTTGCTGCTTGCATCTTCTCCTGTCGCATCTTCTCTTTCTTCAACTTCTTTGCCGAGACTTTCGTTTGTCGGGGCGGTGTTTTGGCCGCGTGTGCGGCCGAGGTCTTGGTTCCGCAGCGGCGCTTCGGACTTTTCATATTCCACACAGCTACCTAGCAAAGGCCTGATCACAAATGCTTCGCGCGGGTACACACTGGATAGTCGCACGTGTACTGATTGCATGCATCAGCAGACTGAAACCAGCCTCGAACTTAAGTTTTGCTTCGATCGACCTACGACAAGCATCGATCCTCTAATTAAGTTTGTAGCTAGCTAGCCAAGCATGGCCCGGGCCGTCTTTGGATCCATATCACCTATTTAGCGACTATATAACTTAACGGGCCTATATAGGAATGTCATAGTTCTATCGGATTTAGGTAGCTAACTCGTACTTATAAATATAGTGAGATGAGTTGCTGGATTTCAGATATATGGGGATTTAAACTAATTATTGGAATTTAGATCATGTATTGGAATGTAGATCATTTATTGGAATTTAGATCATTTATTGGAATTTAGATTATTTATTGGAACTGAGATCATTTACTGGAATTTAGATTATTTATTGGAATTTAGATCATTTATTGGAATTAAGATCATTATTCATATACACTCGAGGTTAGATATTGCTTCGGTGCTACATAGGTATAATCTACTGGAACTTATTGAATCTATCGTTGGTAAAGCTATAATGGCCACATATGCATATAAGTTCACAAACATATAAGGGCTGGATCTTCCTTATAAAGATTAAGTACCTATACAGCTGTTTACGTTATGTATACAGCCTTATAATAGCACCTCCGGATCGTTCAGACAGCCACTAAAGCCATGACAGCCTGTCTCAGATTGGCCGCCCGGGCCCATCCAGGGTCCTCAGATGCAACACATATAGGCATATATGTGTATGTACATACATGCCGTGTATTGTGTGTGCGTGTATGTGTGTGGACATATCTTTACTACCGATACGATACACATACCCTTACTCCCTATCGATAACCGCTACTCGATTTGAAAGCGATAAACCCTGTCCAATGTTAAAGCCAGGCACGAGGAATCGGGAACAACACAAAAACACCATAAACCCAGACCCACATGATCCTCTATAGTGCTTTCAACCCATTGAAAGCAATAACTGAAACCCGCCAAAAGCATTAGATTCACACTGTCCTATATGCTGCAAAAACTCATGGAACACTACCCCGGTATCACCAGCATCGTGTGGGAAGGGTGTTCGGAAGTATACACATATGTGTGCGTTGGAGCATCCGTGTCTTTCCGGATACAAACGTAAGCACCTACCTTCATACTCAGCTTTCATACCATAGCATCCTCGAGCCACCATAACCCCAAGATAAATCATCGCAGCATTATGCTGCCGGTGACCAGCGCACGACCACACCTAAGTAATCTAAATCATATACCTACGGATCTAGCTGCCTCCCTGGCAAGTGCTATGTCTATGTGTTTGCATTTACTGGCATCGGTTTGCCTATTCATTTGCCGGTGAACTCATGATACGTGCGGCCCATGTATCTGTGTCAATGTAGTATCTACTTCTCGAGCATGTAGCTACAGGACTAAAGACATCGTAGAGTGTTCCCTGCTCTATTTCAACTCTATGAACCTATCTCTTAATCTAGCCTCGCAGACCGAAAGCTATTCAGACCGGTGTCACGGATCTGTCCTCGCGGATGTTTCCTGAGGTGTTTCCTTGGTTTAGCTGCATTCACAAGATCAACCGGTAACTCAGAACTGCACATGTATGCCTGCTTGCAAAGCACTCCCGGGCGGCAACCAAAGATTTGATTTCGTCCTGGAGCAGAATGTGTTTGGGCTTGACATAATTAGATCACACGTGATTGTAGAGCTCCGCAAAAGCTGCACACGTATCCTCGTGTCGACGAAACATGCGGTAGACGGCGTTTCCAAAGCGCTGCGGGTAGGTCTGGCTGGGTTTCAAGGCGGGGCCACCGGTAACGTGTTCCCTGCCATAGGAATCGATCGTCCTCAGCAATGTTGCCCCGAGACACAAAGCAGACATCCACACGTTCATGCTGCGCACAAACCTGCCTACACATGTGTTATTGTACTAACTTGCTCGATGCCTTGAAACCGTGGGGACCCATGTCTTGTTCTCAGGCAAGGGAAGATAGAGCTCTTCAACGAACTTGTAGTTGCTGTAGATCCAGACGGGTTTCTGGCCTTCAGACGAAACTGCATCGATTACCTATATTCTGCTGGCTCATGCACCAGAAATTCCAGAAGCCAAGAGGCTCTCGTGCCCATACGATCCCAGCCAGATATGTACCTCACATGGTGGTTTCAAACGCTCTGTATCTGTGTTTGACATATACTGCAGGCTACCATACCCATAGCACACGTCTATATGCGCCACACTTGAGCTCTTGTAAGCCTGCAGACAATTGCACAACCAATTGTGTGCATATCGTGGGACCGCCGGCACCAACACCAGCAGCACCCCTACATACCACCAACCGCAGCGATCACCGATCATGCGTCACAGGTCTCAGGATGCAGTCCAGATGCTTTGTAAACTTGAAATCGTTTGCACAAATAGGCAAACAGCGGGTGGGTCTCCATGAGTGATAAAGAAGGCTGTTCCACGAACCATGGGAGGTCGAGCTCCGAGAGGATTAGCAAATATAGGCACATTCTCGAAACCATCAAATTCCTTAGTGGCCAGGTCAGAACTACACAGAAGATTTTGTATGACAATGACTTGTCTGGTTTCATGCACGGAACTAGGCAACATGCACTTGATTTCGATCCTTTTGCAATCGGCCATCGACGCGGCTGCAGCAATCCTAAGCAGCTACAGTTCTAGGCCCAAAACTTGTTTCGAGCGATGGGATCCATCGCGATGCATGCCCTAGGGCTTCTTCAAGTACTCGAGCAGCTTGCTGTATGCAGCTGCCATAGGCTGACTCTTCCACGTGATCCTCAGACACGTTCTCATTGATCCCACGTCAGTCAAATGCACACGATCGATCGATCATGAAAAAATGAATGCAGCCTGGAAGCGCAGGTGCTTTGATGCCGTTCGTTTTTGGCTTAAATCCGCCTTGTCGTAGAAGAATTTCGACCCGGTGCGTTTGGCCGTTGTAGCGGACGGCCCTTAGCAATACTTCGCCTATACGTATATTTCCGGCATATGCACACGACATGTGTTCCCTGATGTCAAGGCTCTTCGTATACGAGTGCTTTCCGTGGTGGGCGGAGTCGGGTTTGAGCACGTTCGGCATGGCATTGATGGCAGAGCGGTAATCATCCTCGAAGCTCTCCAAGATTTCCTGGCTCACCGGGGCGGTGTTGTCGTAGTTCTCCGGCAAATCATCATCTATGAACGCACCTGTGATAACTCAGGCAACTCATGTCAATAGACCTGCAACTGCTTCCTGCACTGAACACTATCTCAAAACCGGGGCACTCTTGCGCTTGAGGGCGGGCTTCTCGTCGGGCGTAACCTCGTCACGGCCGGGGGGCGCGACGGCTTCGCTGTCGGTCACCTTCTTGGCATCTTTCTTCTTCGATGCCTTCTTGGCCTTCTTGCGCTTGTGTTTTGCACCTGAAAAAACATTCGTGCATCACATAAACTTGATGGCTTTCCTATGGGTTATAGGGTCTCTCGTGGATGCGGAAGCGGGGCCCGAAATCCTGAACCAGATCACTATAACAGCCTATCCCAAATGCCTAAACACGAAATCTTGTATTCCTCAACAATAACCCGTTAAGAGAACGACAGAGAGGGAGCAAGCAAGAGAGGAAGGAAAGAGAGTGAGACAAAGGAGTGTTGAGACTAATTATTGAGATCTCCCCAGCCCCCCACGAACCGATCTCCACGGAAAATCCTCCCTATACCCCCTTTACCTCTCTAGCCCGCCCTCGTCTATCGGCCTCCGGACTGTGCTGGCGGTGGTGCACCTGGCGGCTGGTTCTCGAGTGCTTTCGCCCCATCGTAGAACCCCGACGGGAGGTCCGGGAGGAGATTGGCCAACTGTTCCCCACTGGCCAGATCGGCACCCAGCACCAAGGTCTCCTCGCTGTCCAACGAGTTGTGTGGCACCAACTGTCGTCCCACCTCGCACAGAAATTCCTACTATTCAATCCACACAGATCAGGCAATGCTTTTTCCCTTCAAAACCTAATCTCATCTCAGGTTTAAACTGACATGGGATTCCGAATGGATTCTTATGTTTATGAATGTAGAGAAATCGAAAGTCCACACTTTGGTCAATGCCCAACCCACTCCGGCGAGGAAGCTCCATCGGAAGAGGACTGGTAGTCAGGGGGAGGGCCAGCTTCCTCGCTGCCACCATCTTCACCGTCGTCTGCGGATGGCGATGGCGTCGCCGTCCCATCGTCAGCACTCGACGGAGCGCTGTCGTGCCAAAGCTGACCCTCCTCCTCGCCGTCTTCGCCGCTGTCACCCTCGTCCTCGAGCTTCGGCTCGTCACCTTCGCCGCTGTCACCCTCGTCCTCAAGCTTCGGCTCGCCACCTTCGCGGCTGTCACCCTCGTCCTCGAGCTTTGGCTCGTCACCTTCGCCGCTGTCAGCCTCGTCCTCGAGCTTTGGCTCGTCGCTTTCAGCGCCGCTGCCAGCCGATTTCTCGGGGTCCACCCTTGTGGACTTCGAGTCCTGGCTTGGATTTAGGAACACACATGCTTTCTTCTACAACCGTGACGGGAAGCTTGCTTCCACCACAACAGTTCTCGTGTGGCTTCATGCGATTCTTAAGATCTTGAAGCCACTCCGTTCTCGAGGACTCCTTGCTGTTGGCCCACAGCTTCCGCAATCGGCTCCACAACTGCTTGAGGCGGTAGGCCTGGGCATCCATTTCCGTGGCTAGATCCTCGGATTGAAGGGTCAGTCTGGGCTGCCCAGTCGAATTTTTCGCTCACATATGCCACAACAACCGTCTGGCAACCAAGTCGCAACACCTTCTGATGCCCGAATGACCAATCCCTGCGCATGCATCTTGGAATTTCCACAACAATGGGAATGCACGTTCATTGATTGACTCACTCATGCTCTCCTTTTGATCAGTCTCACTCGCACGTGCGTGGCCATAAAC